GGCGGTGCCCCAGGACGGGGCCGCGGGGGGAAGATCCCGGCCCGGCAGCTCCCCGCCGTGCCGCGGGACCTGCCCGGTTCCCTGCGGCCGGCCCGGCCCCGGCGCCCACCGCTCCTGCTCCCGGGGGCATCCTGGCTGCCAGCAGCTATCGTCTCACACAGTCTATAGTTATTTTTAAACTCATCCATAAACATCGCAACCGATGTGAAAGGCAATCAGGTTATATTATGGCCGAGCCTTTTACCAGCACTTGGTTGTTATTTATGAAAGCGCAAACAGCTCATCTTAAATTAGTCACCCGTACTCGCTACTGATTTTTAACCTCATTAACGTGAAGACAGCCGCATTGATTTTTATTTGACAATTGTAATAAAATAACGACTTGATTTAAATTAGTGGGTAGCTTGGAAAGTCAAATGTTTTTCTTGCATAGACATTCCACAGCGTTTCAGAAGCTGCCTCGCTGTGGAGATCTTTATTGCGCTGCGTCTGAAGATGTTACGTGGGAAGTCTCAATACAGAGAAGAAAAACAAGCCTGAGGTTAGTCCTTTAGGCCTGAAATGACGGTTCTCACTGATCACCGCAACAGGTACAATACAAGAAACCAAACAAAAGCTAGAAAAAGAGTTAGTGCTGGAACATCCATCTTTTCCCCAGGTAGAACATGAGCCCCGGGGAGGGGCAGAAGCCCAGAACCAGATGTCCCACCGCCTCTCAAAACCAGCACCTCCTGCTGCACTGCCGAGTCCCTCGCTCGACTGGCTGAAGCCTCCAAGACTTGCTTCAGGGCTTTAAAACAGTCACCCAGGTGCCTCGTTTTCCCAGAAGCATGTCCTGAAGATCTCTGTTTTCCTCCGTAAACTACTGGGCCTGCGACTTTACTTGCAAGTAGTCAAGAGAAAAAGCACGTCCCACAGCCACTGCCACAAACAGTCTGCCAACACGCAAATAGCAAAGTAGGCAACTGTTCCATTCAGCTGCATGAACTGTTCACACATATGGAGGGCGAGCTCTGATGAGGAGCCTTATGCTGCATTTTTGTTCTGTGTAGCACTATGTAATGGAAAAGCCACATCACCTAAATTATCAGTCTTTGTATCTCGCTAGCTCTAGGGAGTTCCTGCTCTTGTCGGTGATAAAACTCAGGAGTGCTGCAAAGCTCCTCAGTAAAAGAATTCATCCCAAGTCACTACAGACTTTGCAGGATGCTGAGCTGTAATGTGCTTGTGACCCCGGTTTTTATGCCTTGTTGAATTAAAATGTCTCATGGAAAGTCTCATTAAATGCATTTCTCAGAAATAACTTATAATGTTAGCAGACCGCATCAGAAATGTCAAGGCAAGTGACAACTCTTTAGCCATTACATTGTATCTGTTACACCATCCATAAGTACTTTCATAATTTCTGAGATGCTGCTTCCTAAGTTTTAATTTAAAATCTATGCTGTTTTCTTTCATAGCATGTTTTGAAATGGATATGTTAGTTATTGTACTCTTTCCAGAAAATTTGCTAGGAGTTAGTCATTATTTAAAAGAGCCTGAAAGTTGTAAAAGGATTACAACTGAAAGGTGTAATTTAAGAACAGTTTTCCAAAGGCAAAGAATAGTTCTTAAAGAATATTTCTCTGAGAAATCAGAAAGAATCACTCTCAAATAAAAAGATAGAACACTTTTATACAAGACAGTAATTTTTGCTTTGTTTAGGGATAGGTTTGTTTTTAAATATACTGCAAATCTCTGAGCTATCAGCTTTCACTCCTCCCTTTCTCTTGCCTTTACATTCTGTAGGAAAAGTATGAAAGATGCCATCAAACGGCTTCAGCCTGTCTGCCATTCAGTTGTCATTTCTCTCTCATTCTCCACTCATATTTGGACAATCAAATCCATAGCATAGAATCATAGTCTTTTTCCGAGAAGTCTGCAAGATGTAGTGTAGAATAAAAAAGTGGGAAATAAGGATGTGATTGTCCCAATACCAGAGGAGGGTTTAATTCCACCACATTTCTTCATTCCTTTACCTGTGAAATGGAAGAAGGTGCAGCATGGGGCTTTGTTTAATTTTTGCTTCATTAGAAATGTAGTAAGTAGTTTTACCTTCACAGAGGTAAGTTGAATAGAAGACAAAAAAAAAAGACCTTTTAAGTTGCTTTGGGGTTTTTTTAGTGCTACTCAGAATGCTACTGACTAAGCGCTGCTGAAAATTCTTAATAATAATACGGGCTAAGTAAAACTAGGTCCTCTCGTTTACTCCTGCTTTCTAGGAAGTCAACAACAGGCATACATACATGTCCTAACAAACACCTAACAAATCCCAAGAAAATTATCATCTTGCTATCATCCTCATGATGAGGTCTGCCTGTCCACGAGGCCTGCCTAATTGCATAGCCAAGACAATCAGAATTTTAGTCTTGTTTTTTAAGGGAAGACCTATCTGATATCTAAACCCATCCATAATTACGGAGGCTTTACTCTGCTCAGAATGAAACAGCAGGAGCTGCCCTGATGACTACCAAGAGTTTGGTCCTGTGCCCATTACTCACCACGAGAGCCACTGACTTCTCCTTGGGGTTCTACGGGAAGAAGGTGCCCGTGTTTGAAACCTAAGCCCTGTTTTAACCTAAACCAGAAAACTGGGTGAGGTTTATCATGAATTGAATCAGACAGTTCTTGTCAGGTGTAAATTAACTTGATTTTTGCCCTCTGCTTTGATTTGGGAGAGGATATTCTTACTCTAAATACCAAACCTGGCATTTGGAGACTGTTGTGCCGTGCTGGCGCCTTTTGACCTGCCACCAACAAAGATGGTAGAACCAAGAAATAAAAGAGTTTAGAAAAGTTCCTCCAGACTTCTGTGGCATGGCAAAGAATCTGGGCCACTAATAACGGTGTTTGGCTGTATTTTCTGCTCGGAAATTATGTTTTGATTATCTGAATTGTTTGTGATGTTCCAGTTTGAAAAACAGTATTTTTGCTTGTGGTCTTAAGTCATATCTGACAATATCTGAATGATGAAAAGGAGAATGTGTTGGAGGGGAAATGAGAGACATATGAACACTGACTTTGGGGGATGCGTGGAAGGAAAAGGGGAGAAAAACAACACTGTCATTAAACATGGCGTTTCTTATACAGGCTCTAAATCATTTAGCGGTGGTCTTTCCTTTGGGCAAAAACTGCCACAGCTGCTCACTTCATTAGGAAAAGTGAAATCTGTATTTAATTTGCAAATATTTATCACAAATGGTGTTAGATAAGCTTTTCAATTTTCAATATTTTAACACAATTGCAAATAAATTCCAATTTATTCAGAATTCTAACTCTCCATCTACTCTCGAGTAATTCAGACGGAGCTCTGTTGTTGTCTCCTCCTCAGTAACACCAGAAATTGAGAGAAGGATTAAATGCTTACTGTTTCAGACCAGTTTGGGAACCAGAGAATGCTGGGTCACGACTGCCTGCACACAGTCATTTACAATGGTGGAAAATTAGCGCGAAAAATGCTAAAGGTAGCCCTCCTGTTTTCTCTCAGACAACAGTATTTGCTCTCACCCCCGTGCAAGTGTGCTGGAGGTCCAAACAGACATGCCTTCGTTATTTCTGCAGCAGAATCGTATTAATTTTCTACTTCTAAAACTTGAAAACAAGGTTCCCTTTCAGTTCAGTGGGCACTTGCGTCTGATTCCACTATTCAAAACCAGTGTAGTAACGTGCAATGAAAGATGTTGATCCCCTCAGTGAACAACTGCATGTCAAGAGTATCAGTGCAGGTTACCCACCACAGTGACACACTTACAGTCATCTTATGAAAATGTCCATTCAGTAATTAATACTAATCCTGCAGGAGGAAAAAAGTAAAATACAAAAACTGCTCTGTAGTGGTCCAATATAGGAAAGGGAAATGGAGATAAGATTCTGTCATCTTACATCTCCTGGTCTCCAGGGAAACAGAGATCCACTTCGGCTTTGAAATGAGGAACTTTAATTAAAAGCTGACTTTTACAATGATTTATTCTTTAAGACATCTTTAGATGTAACTAACTAAACCTCTAAGGGGGAAACATGCAAGCTGGGTGACCAAAAGTGTTATTAGGAGCGACTGTTCTTGAAACCACTAAGAATTCATTACTCCTTTTTTCTATTTTTTCCTCTTCCATTTTCCATTCTTCTTTTTGTGTTTTATATTATACTAAGAGACAATTAGGCATTTTATTAGTGAAAGTCTTGGGGATACTATATGCATGTCTGTTTCTCCTGGAAACTGTTAATATACAACAGTTCTGGTGATTTTCTTAAATCAGAAAAGAAAGAAAAGCTGCGAGAAGGTTT